TAGTCGCCGACCTTGGTCACAATCTAGATCGAAATGTTCGGTGCAAATGGAGTATAACTGACTTTAATGCAAGTCAAAGTCCAACTGTACAGTTTTTCTGTGCCTTAGTATTTTTTATTTATATACAAAAGAAATCANCGTTTTCGTCTATGTGAAATAGATATCTTCAGGTATTAATGATATCGAACAAATGGATCGTAAAATAGATTTGGATTTGTTTGATCTGAATTCTCACAAATTTTCAAAGCTAGTTGTGAGCCAGTGTCATGGTTTCACTCCCTCATGTAAACTAATACCCCGTTCAGACACAATCCACGACTTACTTTGATCTCAATTTACATACAATCTCTATTATGACTGTCGCCAGTTAAATGTTGTGCTGGTCGCACAGGCACTGTGCTTGAGAAGAACCCAGCTATTACTCACAATGATAAAACTGACATAACTACACAGTTAGTCATGGACACCAACAAACAAAATGGAAGTTTTGGTTAGAAATAAATACTTTTTCTTGCCATTTATCTAATAATAGACAAATGTCCTCGTCTCTCCAATTGTCTTTTTCATTTCTCAGTTGATAGCCCAACATGTGTTCCACAGCCATCTTGTATTTTCTCACACGCGTGGGATTGTGGGATCTATCTTATGACTGGATCTAATTTCAAGAACTCTTGAGTCAATCGTGATTGAACCTTGTTTCAGTCGAGATTGAAACAGTCCAGAGAGATCGCACCATGGCATAGTCGCCGACCTTGGTCACAATCTAAATCGAAATGTTCGGTGCAAACGGAGTATAACTGACTTTGATGCAAGTCAAGTCCAACTGTACAGTTTTTGTGTGCCTTAGTATTTTTTATTTATATACAAAAGAAATCAAAAATTTATTATTACACAAATATTCTTATAACTGATATGATTGTAACAATTCCTAATTATATAGAATTGTTAAACACTCTCCTAACTGCATCACAGTTCTCTGTAGAGATTGCAGAAAGTTTTCTCTAGCAAGTTCCATGGTGTATTGCAGTAGAAGTACATATTTGCAAAGGATAAATTCCACAAAATTGTTGCAAATATAAAATGGAGAAATACATTGAAAAATAAGGTTAATGGAATGAACAAATATATGATTTGAAAATAAATGAAAAATTTCTGTATATTTTTTCTTTAAAAAATTCTAATTTCATGTTTTGTCTTTCTTTGGAAATCATGCATTTGCTAGTAACATGATCTATATTTTTAAAATTCTCTCTCATCTACAATTTTTACATTATCCAGAGAATTTCTTTTCCTTAAATTTTTTAAATTAATTTAGAATGAATTTATCTTAACCAAATTATCAAAGCAGATACTTTACTTTTTTATTGGATAAGATTTTTTTTTTAATTTTTCAATTAGCAAATTTCCTAGGTAGAATAATAATAATAATGATGATGCAGTAAAATAATAAAATTACTCATAAAATTAACTAAACTAAACCAAACCAAACCTCAGATGGTTCAAACCTACATCATCTAGCTCAGTATCTAGCATCTTATTCACTCAACTATCACCACTATCACCATTCTGGGACTTAAAACTTCCAAAGACTTTTAAGCTAAACACTAAATTTTCAGAGGCCTGATTTTTGAAAATGTTTGAGAAGTGGGTCCTATTATTTGGATGATGAGCTCTTTGTGTTTAGAGCTGTGCTCAACAAGTTTCCTTTGAATTGAAGATCCGAAAGTCTGACCATCCCCTTGTTAGCAATAGGAATCATTTTTGAATAATTTTGTAATGAATAATTTCAAATAAAACATTTGATCACAATGTTTAAACAGTATTTCAAAAGTTCTGTCATGTCAAAATTTGTTTTATTCTACTGAAAAAAGTTATCCCAAAAAATTTCCCAAAATTTCTATCAGTCCATAAAAAAAATCCCAATCTGGAAACGCTAGGCAGCATTGTACAAAACTGCTTTCGATTCTCAATGTCACTTCCTATGTTTCTTCCTGAACTTGCCATGTGATGTCATGAAATCACTAGATGTATGGTGTATGGGACTACCATTGTATGGAAGCTCAACATTTTGCTGTTTTTCCCGAGGTGTGATTTGTGATTCAAGTTCACGCTGAATGTCAAAACAAGCAGGCTAGGATTTTATCGCTGTTTTAATAAAAATATCGCCAAGTGGAAAGTTTGGCACCATGCAGCGCAACCCCTGATGTAATGAGTATTTCACAGCACTTTGCTTATATTGTAAAGAAACTAATTCAGTTTGAAGATAAAAATTAAAACATTTATGTTTGATTGAAATGTTTCATTTTGTTTGTTTACNATCTATTCTTTCACTGTTTTTGTTAATCCTTCTATCAATAAGCAAATTTTAGATTCGTGAGTATGAAAAATTTAAAACCAAATCATGAATATTGAAAATGCTCAACTATACAGCTTCTATTGCATATTACTTTCAACTAATTTTGAAAAAATTTAATGGTCAATTAATTGATTGATTTATGCCTAAGATAAAATATTTTATATGCTACTATTAAATATTAAAACATTTTAATTTTCTTAGTTTTATCATTTATGTTTGAAAGATTGGACTGAATAATTCTCAACCATTTGTTTATTAGAATTTCATTCCATACTTTTAAAAAGTTCTTGTCAATGGCATGATTTTTATTTTAAAAAATGTTTAGAAAATTTGCATTCTACATTACTTTTTAGTAATAGAATTTAAATGCAAATTACTAAATTTACATATGCTAAAATGTATAAGCAAAAAACAAATCAAGTCTTAGTCACTGACTCCATATTTATCAAGAAAAAGTTGTTTAGCATTATTTTTGTCTTGTTGACAAATCAAATTATATCCAATTCTGAAGAAATTCAATCTACGCCATATATTTTGGAAATATTTTTGCTCCTAATTCTAATTATCTCTCTAGAAAGCATCGAAAAGAGATTCTTTAATTACGATCACCCTGTATAGCGATTAGAATTTTACAGGATAAAATTACAGGATAAAATTACGTTAACAATGGTGTCAAGTAAGTCATATTAATAAGCCAATAAAAAATTACAAATTGATCTAGATAATTTTTCTTAGTTATATTGTTCATAAAATATTTTTTTCTCTAAAATNGCTTCTATTGCATATTACTTTCAACTAATTTTGAAAAAATTTAATGGTCAATTAATTGATTGATTTATGCCTAAGATAAAATATTTTATATGCTACTATTAAATATTAAAACATTTTAATTTTCTTAGTTTTATCATTTATGTTTGAAAGATTGGACTGAATAATTCTCAACCATTTGTTTATTAGAATTTCATTCCGTACTTTTAAAAAGTTCTTGTCAATAGCATGATTTTTATTTTAAAAAATGTTTAGAAAATTTGCATTCTACATTACTTTTTAGTAATAGAATTTAAATGCAAATTACTAAATTTACATATGCTAAAATGTATAAGCAAAAAACAAATCAAGTCTTAGTCACTGACTCCATATTTATCAAGAAAAAGTTGTTTAGCATTATTTTTGTCTTGTTGACAAATCAAATCATATCGAATTCTGAAGAAATTCAATCTATACCATATATTTTGGAAATATTTTTGCTCCTAATTCTAATTAAACTTATAAAAAAAAAAATATTATTTATTTGCTATAAAAATTTTACAGATAATCAAAAGTTCTATTGTATACTTAATAACAGAATTGCAAATTTCCTATTCCAAGGAATGCAGACAATTTGTTAAGTGGAAAATACAAAAAAATTAAATTTTCAACAATCCACAGGAAAATTCATTGAAAAGAGAAATTTTTTATATAGATCTCTGCAATATAAAAGTCCAACTGTATTTTTAAACTTTGATAACTACAGAATACTTTAAATAATTAATTGTATTCTTTAAAATAATCTACAATTTTCAAATTTTATTAGAATACTAATAAAATTTTAGGACACTATTTGTATATTTCAACAGAATATAATTTTGTTAATATGATATTGAATTAATGCAATAATATCCTTTACTATGGAATGCTTTGAATTCTGTTGAAATTGACTGACTGAGAATACTGAGAAAACTATCAAGATTATAAAAGAAAAAATAACAACATGAACACAAGAAATTTAAGAAGATTTTAGATTAATAAAGCATCAGGATCAAACAAGTAGATTTGTCTTACTGACCACAGTTAATATGGATACTTAAAATTTTCAATTGATTTAATCAAAAAATCCAATACTGAATTGCATAACTTTCCTGGCCAAACTTTAAAGTTTTATGTGATACCATTTATTATATAAGATTATAGATTTTATTTTAAGAACTTTTTATATTATTAGTTATTATAAAATGGCAAAAAGCTTAATTTTGAGTGTAGAGGGTAAAAATTGTAAAATAATAATGAGCAAAATCTTTATTAAGTCTGATCCCATTTGAGAGATAAGACATATGACCCTCCTCTATCTCCCCACTCCATTGATTTTTAACTACAAAATTAAATAGTACCAATCCTCCTAATAAACAAATCTTTCTGCAAAATTTCAGAAATTTTCAACATAAAGCACAGAAGTTATTAAGTATCAAACAGGGTGAAGAAAATCATGCCCCCCACACACAAATGTCTGTACATATAAAAAATCCCTGAATTTTTTTGCATTTCTTGACATTTCAAGATCCAGAGACAAAACAATAGCGAGGTTGCAGCCGAAGTTTTCAACGCGAAAATGTAAATGTCGGACGTTCAGTGCCACTTTCCTGTAAGCCTATAAGTTTGACAATGGCATTTGGAATGTCAAGTATAAACTTCGACTGCAACCTCACTATTGTAAAAATTTTAAGGAATTATTTTTTGAACAATCACAATACTCTTCCATTTGTTATATATAACAGCCAGGAAAGTAAAGATGAAAATTCTTTTAACTGTAATTACTACTTGACTAATAATGCTCATTATTAATCAAGAATGCTCAATAGGTCATTTACAATAACTGATCTAATCAACAGCATTTTTTAACCAGTTAAAACAAAATTATTATTAACTTACTTGCAACTTTAATAAACTGTTTAATTATCTTCATTCGCCTGAGTAGATGATGTTCCGAACAGACTTCCGTTACAACCCAAAACATTTCCCTGTTAACTAACTATAAGAAAAATTAAATAATTAAAATATTTATTGTATAGATATCATTAAATAGATAAAATGTGTATCTTACTTCAGAAAATTTAGAGAGCATCGGCGTTCCATACTTAGACTTCACTTCAAAGAGATCATCTATGTATTCTGTAGGTTCTATTTGACGAAATATACTGAAATCTTCCAGTGTCAGCTGAGTTGCAACTTCAACACTATTCAGCTGCAGAAAGTGTACCTGGCTTTCGCGATGTAATTCCTAAAAACCAGATTTGATTCTCTCACAAAATAATCAATGATAAAAGTTATGTACTAAAAATTAATTTAAAAAAATGAACTTTTTAAAATAGACTTAATAGTTGACAGAAATTTTTAAATGAAAAAATCACCCAAGCATTATGGGAAAACTTTTTGCAGATTAATAGTTTTTTTAAAGAAACTAGTATTAATTTCACAGTTTCTGCTTTCATAGTTTTACTTTCCATTTCAAATAAAATTGTTATTAAAGATATTATTAAAAAACTAATGACATGTTACAAGTAATCATGCACATCATCTTAAAACAAATCTTACCAAAAAAAGAAAATTGAATAACTTTTATCATAATCAAAACAATTGTGTTAGTTTGATATGATTACAATCTATTAGATGTATGAACTTTAGTTTAATGTAATTCATCATGTTGTTTACATATTCTTGAGTTATTAATAAACTTCTATAAGCCATTCATCATTCATTACAATGAACTACTCACAATACTTTCATTTATAAAATAGTATTTTATGTCTGTCTAAATGCGTGACATCTATTACAATACAATGTTTTTCTACACAAAGATTGAAATATTTATCAATTTGAAAATGCTGTGTGTGATCCATTACAGTAATGAAAGACACAAGTTTATTCATAGCTTCACATATTGTATAAAATAACTTAAAAACTACAAATATCGTAATACTTTATCTTAAAACTAATGTTTTTGGTCATATTTAATGACCTTCGTTGTCATGGTGCTCCAAAAAAAAAAAAAAAATCAAACATTTTCAAATACTAACAGAAATAAAACAAAATACACATATATAAAAAACAGTTTAAAAATAAAAACATATTTTAATATTAAAACTTATAAGCTCAAAAAAAAAAAATAATAATATCTTTATGAGATAAAATTTAAAAGTATAAAACTTCTAAGTCATTAAAATTTAAACTTTTCATTATAAAAATTCTGAATTACATTTACTTTAATACATATTTACATTATATGTCAAGAAAGAACATTATTGATAAATTAACAGTGATTATAATTCTATCTGAAAAAATTACTTTCAAAAATGCCCACAAATGATGAATTTAAGAAAATTATCCAAATGTTCATAATTAATGCTGACATAATACATTTTTTTTTAATATATAAAGAGCTTAAATTGTTAAAATGGCACCTTACTCCACAAGGCACCCCGATGCAATGCTTACCAAGCTTACAGTCTATGCTGTTCCCTGCATCTATTTGCATATCTATTTGAAAATACATTGCTTTTGGACATGCAGATGTTTGTCCCTGCTTTAAGAGAAATGAAAAATATCTAACATGAGTGCTTAAAATTTGAAAATGTTTAATATAGCATATGTATAGAAGATTCATAGAGATTCTGTTGCTTTCATTTTTCAAAATATGGTAGGAAAGACTATTTTTTTCCTGACTCCAACACTTGACTAAGTATTATCTGACTAAGAATGTTATCCACCATTCCATCACTGACATGTAATTCATTAAGGCTACTTTACTAATTAGCAATGCACTACTGGTGGTCTAATGATAATTAGATAATTGTAGTTTATGATTTTTATGGCTACTTTATTTAAAATACAAAAATGCCCATACATAGAAATAATACTTTCTTTATATTATATTCTATAACAACCAGAAAAGTAAAAAATATTTTTGAAATGTAGAGAGTCAGTTAAGAAATCAAAATTGGCAATTTTTTTGCTGACACTGACTCTCCAGCTATGCTTATAATAAATATTATATTAATCCTAAAGGAGACAAGAGATGTACAGTACAGTACATGATGACAATTTAATAAGATCAATTGAAATCTTAACAGTTGATTCAAAATGTTTTATGTAAACTATGTTCATATCAAACATTTTGAAAACATAATAATAAAAATACAAAATCTGACAAACACTTTTATATATTTAATTCTTTTTGTCTTCAAATAAAATGTATTTTGGAATAATATTTTTGTGATTCAGGGTAGATTAATGTATTAATTTAAAATAAAATTGAAAATGAAAATAAGATATATAAGGATCACATATGCAAATCCATTAAATATTTATCAAAATTATTCAAAAATGATACAGAAAAAAATTTAATTTATTTAGTCATTCTTCATTGTAAAATAAACCGATTTACCAATTCATTTCTTACACTTTACAAAATTATTACAAATTAATAAATTACTTAGTTTCCTCATAAAATAAAAGACAAAGTAATAATGAACAAGTGAAACAGCGAAACCATTTTTGGGATGAGACTATGTTTCGGAGAGCGCGAGCAACACATGCGCAAATCACACGCTCACGCCTGTTTGTAGAAACAGTCTCAGCATTTTGTATTTTCTTTTGACCCAGTTCTTGGTCCCCTGACAACCCACAAGTCTGATTTATTTTATGTGCACATGATTTGGGTACCAAATACTCTGTGCCAAATTACAACTCTTGACATGTACTCCTTCATATCTCTAAGGTATGCAGCTGTTGACAGCAGTGCGATTTTAGAGACGAAACATCTCATCATAAACTGAAAATTGTCACCATAATTTGAGGCAGTAACTTTACAGAATGAATTTAATTTTCATCTAAAAAATAAACAATCTATACTTACATTGGCTAATTCATCTGGAACCAAAGTTTCTGTCGAAGTGTTATTTTTTAGGTAATATCGACTGCTAAGTCCAATTCTTTCGGCTAAATTCTGCAACTGGTCGGGAAGCCTTCTCTGTTTCACAACACCTCCTTCCCCCACAGATACCTCACACAATGAGTAATTACTGAATAAAAAATAGTACAATTATTGATATATAAATTATGATGCTAGTTTCATTACATTAAACTATTAACTCAGAAAGTAGTTTTTTTTATTGCTTAATATTAATTGTATTCAAATTCCTTAGCCATATACTGTAAAGTATTAGCATTTTGTTAACTATGTGTTTCCTTATTTAATTTTAGGATTATGTATTTTGAACAGAATTTATCATTTTTAGAATTGCAAGAGTAAAATATAACATAATAAACTGTAAGAACATGATTAAAAAATAAGCAAACTTTTACATAGAAGAAAGCATTCATTTATGATAGAAAATGTCCTAAATAATATATATTTCATTCAATTCATCTTAAAAAATAATGTTTAAATCTGAAATATGTGGGGCTGTGGACACAGGCCAGAACAAACTAACAATTTAGGCATCAGATAAGAGCCTCTAAATTACACTTGGCTCACTTTCTAATAGATCTCATTCCTTATTTTGTTTTTTGAAATACAAAACAGGAATGAGAACTAATAGAACTAGTGAATAAATATGATTTATCCAATTAAGTAAATTCACCATAATTTCAAAATAACCAAAGCACAGTTCAGAAAGTTGAATGAAAATTTACAAAAAAGTATTTTAAAAAATTCAGGAAGCATTGAATGCAATGTAGAGGCTTTCTTTTCCAAACAAAAACAGACTTCAAGAACACAAATATAATATAACAAAAAGGAAAGCTACTACTAAGCTAGAAAATGTAACAATAAAAGAAAATCTTGTGGGATGAGATCAAAGTGAGCTAATTTAAAACATCCAGGAGTTAATTTTCACAGAAGTATTCTTAAAAATATAAAAATCTATAAATGAATTTATTCTGCAATTAATGATTTTTGGAAGTATTTAAGTATATTGATAACAGAAAAATTCAACTTAAAAAATATATAAAAATTGAACTTTTTAATATAGCTTTGTAAAATACATTCCCAAAGATATTAAAATTTATTGCAAAAGACAAAGTCATTATCTCAGTATTCTGATATAAAGTTAACATTTATTTATTTATTTTATATAAACAAAACACTCTGGTCATTGGCCTTTTTCAAGTATGTTACAACTAGTACAAAAACACACTTACAAGTTAAACAACTAAACAAAGAAAAAATTAATAAAAAAAATTTAATATTGACTTTTACTTACTATAATACATACTGAATTTTTAATATTTTAGTCACTATTCTTAACTATTGCAATTTAAATCAATCCTGTATTTCAAAATTAATAAGTGAGTGCTAATTTACCAAATCATAGCTTTACATGTGAAAGTAGGTGACCATGTTTATGTCTAGAACTATACCTCAAAGGTATTCTATGCTGCTCTTTTAGAGTATGACAAAAGTAGATATAATTTCTTAAGCTACGTCCTACTGTCCGTGGCAGCATCCAGCAACGGCAAGTGTGAGCGTGCTTCCAAGAAGAGCGGACAAACTGGTTCAAGCAAATGTGTGTGTCTGGTGTAACCACATTTAGTGTGCAGCAACCACCAGATGATGCTTCTACACGAACATGCAGAAAGCAACTACCAAGCAAGTTTGATCGCCTCTTCCATTGCTTGTGCTTCCAAAGAAGAAAATGGCTGATTTTGTAGATGAATAAAAACAGTATGACAAATAAAATGTGTATACATGTTGTATATTTTTAATAATTTTTACATAATTTAATAATTTCTGATTTTGTAAATGTAAAGTTTTAAAAATGTTATTATTCTTACTTATTATTCTATGAAGTTTCTTTATATTTGTTTTATCTAGTTAGTGATAACAATTACCTGTCAAATTTACCGTTTTAATGCTTATCATATTTTCTGTAGCAAGCAAACATTCGACAAAGTTGTCTCACCTTCATTTTGTAAACAGCACGCATCCACTCTGGACAGAATTTGCTTGCGAGTTGAATGCATGAACAAAGATTCTTTACACTTGCGGTCGCTGCCATGTAAGATGTAACCTTAGTTTCAAAAACTTATGGCTGTATATTAGAGTTTGTTTTATATATAGCATTTGTACCTTGTCAATTCTATTCTGCTGATAATGCCAAGAGACTAAGTCAAAATAGTTTAACTTACACGACTCCAACAAAACAGTTTTGAAGAATTTGTAAGTTGTTTAAAATTGAAGTTAGATGCAATACTCCAAATCAGTATACCATATTTAATTTTTGCTTTGATGTATGTTTTATATTGCCTCTTTCATCATATTGTAAATCAAATCTGAACTATCTACAAATAAGTTATGAATTCAAAATTGTGACTTGACCTCCAAGTTTATATTTAGAAATCCTTGTATTTTTCTTATTTTACTGTTAAATTTGGTTAATGCCATGCCCAAGTTCCAAAAAATTTATTGTTGATTTCCTATGCAATCATTGATGAAATTTACAGATTTGCAAAATAAAAATAAAAAAAATAAAAGTTCCTTTCTTCATCTGGATATTACAACTTTCCTCTTAGACTTTGTTATTTTCACACACTTCTGGGATTCCATGGTTGATAAGGTTGTATTGAGTTAGACAGAAAGTTTTTGTGTATTCTTAACAACTGTCATTACTTGGCATAGATGTGTAATTTTAATTATAACAGTTGTAAAATTTATCACACTATAGGTAATGTGAGCTTATTTTTGAAAGCTTATTTTAAACTTTTTATTCAAACAAAATATCAAATAAAAGTAAGTTGAAATGTCTTCAGATAAAAAGCATATCAGGTATAGTATGCTTTGAGTTTTTGAAAGAATATGATACCATACAAACAATTAAACAAAAACAAAAAACAAAAAGAAAAAAGTGTATATGGTGAAAATGCCCCTAAATTTCAAACATATCAAATTTCATTTTTCTATGTATAACGTCCTTTTAATCCAAAGAATTTTTCTTGGTAGAAGATCTCACAGCTTTTTGGTCAGAAAATTAATATCAAATTTGGTTTAAAAAGTTTAGGAAATTTTCTAAAGAATACAAAACATATGGCATCTAAAAGCTATTGACAAATAAAAACTGCAAAAAAGAAATTGTTAAAAATCAATGAAAAATGCAATATTTATAACCAAACACACCAAAAGTAAAGCAAAAATCAGACTGAAAATGTATGAATATAATACAAAGCAAGAGATGACTTGAGCCAAGCAACAGATAAATTTCTTTTAAAATATCTTCAATATAAAATCACATATTGTCATATTTATTTTTTCCAAACAAAATAAAAATTAATGCAATATTTTCATTTACATTGAAATTATATTACAACAATAACTCTATTCATAAATTCTATAAAATTAAAATATATTCAAACAACTTAAAAAATTCAATTAATCAAATAACCATTAACAGATTATATTTGAGTCATAATATAGATGTTTAGTAATCTGGCAATAGTTATTTGGTTAAAATAATTAAAACATTTTCAACATAAAATGTCAAACTTACTTGCTTGGATCTGTTATACCAAATTCCCTGAGGGATAACATTACTACTTCACGTGCAGTAGTTTCCTGTTTATGTGAAAATATAAGAATACATTTAGTATTTTTTTTACATCAGGATATATTAGTGATAATTATTCAGAAAATTTAAACATATTATTACCTTATGAACTAACAGAAATTTAAATGTCTGATCTGAACGATAAACTTTTAGAACGTGTTCCGGATAGTCTAATTTCAAGTCGTGTTCATAATAAGTGGCTAAGGATGTGAGATCTGGATTGCTGTGGCTATGGTAGAGACGATTGTTTCCTCCCGAAGACCTTGAGGGAGAAGCAGATCTTCCACCATGGCTACCGGAACCTGCGCTGCTGTTACTGTGAGCCGAATATAGACTATCATCTGAGCTGTTTAGGTGAGATTCACTGAAATGAAATCATTTACATAAATGTCATAATTAAAACACTGTATACATAATTAATAACAATATATAAAATTAAGAATGTCAAAACTATTTTTATTTAAAATTTTAACTTTTCAAAAACTAAACTATTTTGAATACATAGTTCAGTAATTTAATGAAGTTAAGTAGAATGTATTGAAGCTTGTACATGCAAATTAAAAAATGATTTTAATTAAGCCAAATAATCTTGCTGAAATTATTGAGTTATTTTGGGCTACATTAATAATTAATTATGAATAAATTTGACTACAGATAGCTAGTTAAACTGCCATCTTGTATTAATTTTAATAATTATAAATTAATTTAATTTAGAAATTTCTGGGGAAAAAGAATTGGCCCAAAATGGGACTCAAACATGCAACTCCTACTTACTGTGCAGATGTGTTGCCAATTATACTACCCAACTATCTGATTTTTCCCTTTCAGAATTATTATTTAGAATAAAATCAAATTAATTATTAACATAGCCTGATAATGTTGGCAAGATTTTTTAGCTTAATCGTTTATCATTTTGATTAAATGTTAACATAATATAAATTTAATTTAGAACTTGAATTATAGATAACTAAAGCATCCAAAATTCTTGTACAAATTATTTGTATTCAATTAATTGATTAAAGGTAATTGTTCCTATCATATCAAGATTGTTGCTATTATATAATAATAATAAAAGTAAGTTTAATTTTTTTATGTAGAATGAAGCAAACTTTTGACATACTTATACTTAAAAACATTTTTATTTTTCGTGTATTGATATATTTTATATGGTTTTAAGAAACTATTAAATGGTTTCTTAATATATGAAAGCTTATTTTGTGATGTCATTCATGAATATAATATTTTAAAACATGCTTATTACAAAAAATCATTAATAATTTATTTTTCATTTAAATACCCTACAAGTTAATACAGTAATACAGGATGACAAGATTTATAAATAAGAATTATGCCTACACACTTACATGTAATTTTTTATGTCATATCATCTTATTACTTTCTGTATAATCTATTTATAATTATTAGAATATTACCTATTGAGAGACTTTGGTATAATATTTATCTTAGCTAATGCTTTTTTTAACTTGGCACGATGTCCCAATGTCATAAAACCTTTCTTGTCCTCTTTCTTAACGTCACTGTTACTGTGTACAACACCAGTCCCATTTGCAATCTTGGAAGTCGGAGAACTGGGAGCCTGGAGGAGGGACATCACTCCTAGGGGCAAGCCACCTACCCCCAGTGGTAGGCCGACCACATCGCCCCACTCCAACTGGTGAGAAGACAGCCTGGCCCGGGGATCTGGCTGAAGTCGTGCAATTTCTGATGCCTTCCTTCCTCTGGGTCTCGGGGAATTCTCAGGAGTGTTGAGCATTTCTTTAAAACCTGAAATAAAAGATGTATTTCAAATCATATTTGTAAAAAAACTGGAAAATTATACTGACTTAGATTAAAAAATGTAGGTCAAAAATTATAATGTTTCTATTATTGTTTTAAGTTATACGGAAGCAATATAAAATTAATTATAATGTTTTTATTACTACAAATCAACACTAACCAACACCGGAATGAAGTTATTAAATTTTTATTATTGTCAAGTTTTCTTTAAATTGTTTAAAATGTCTATAAATGATTTCATCATCAGAAAGTTTAACGTTTTATTTCAATTTAATATAAAAAAAGTTGATTTAAAATAAACAAAAAGTACAAACCTAGAAGATTTGACCGAACTGTAATACACAAGTGTGTAGTACCTCTCAGAACTTCTAAAGCTCTGGCATGACTAACATGCTCAAAACTCTGGCCATTAACTTCAAGAATCTGCAAGAAAATAATTGAATATTTTAACAGTTTAATCATAAACTTCTTCAAAAGTTTGGAAGTAGGAATAAATGATTTTCATCAAAAAATAATTGTTTACAAATTAAAACCATGCATTTTTCAACATATTGTTAAATATTTTTTCACACAAAAAAACAGAACAGTAGGACGGAGGTTGTTAATCTTTTGTTCCAAAATATCTATTATTTCGAACTGAATGCACCACCTATCAGAATGTAGAACTCTAAATAGGTCAAATCTGCATTTTTTCTTTCATATAAAAGTTAAATCATGCAGGTTAATGCATTTTTAAAATAATATTCAGCTGTTTTTTTAAATATTCAATTACAATTTTACTACTAATTTTAACTGGTTTACAATTTATATATTTTTCAGATCTGATATTATGAGTACATATTCATAGATTAATTAATAGATTATTATTATTATTATTAGTTACATAATCTAGAAATTAAAAAGTAATCAAACTAAATTTGTCAAAGAAAGTCATTATTATTTTAAAATATACTAAACGTTCTTAAAATATTACCACAAATCATCTTTTCATCATGAAGCTACTATTTTTATTTTTATTCAAATTTTTCAAAATAAGAACTGACATGAATTGACTGCATTGTTTGTTAAATTAAATTAGCACAACCAATAAATCATGTCTTTGTTAAAAATATTACACAATATTATGACTCTATTGGATCCCTTTGGAATTTAAAAACTCACACCAAATGAGATTGAATCTTTAAGGATGAGAATAAAATTGTCATTTAAAATCCCTGCATATATTTGCATTGAAAAAATTAATTAGGAAAAATCAGATTCATTACATCAGTTTTAATTTGATTTACTTAATAATACATTGTAAAAATTTAGCATGAATAATTTATTTGATAAATAATTTAACTAAATCTAAAGTCAAAAAATAAGTTGTGCATAATACCTGATCACCTCTCTTCAGACCCATATCTTCTGCCTTAGATGCCTTGTCAACTTTTGATATAAATATTCCAAAGCCTCTTTCGTAGCCACCCAAAATGGAAAAGTGGAGAACCTCATCTCGGGTCGATCTGGCCAGCGTGATGGTTCGGTTCCTCGCTTTGGTGGCACAGGCAATATTCAGGAGTCTCAACTGCCCATGCATTTTCTAAATTCACAAAAAGTATTTAATTAATAATATTAAAAATAAGCATTAAAATAACAGTAACTATTATTCTATGTTCACAAATTACTGAAGGATTACAAAGAAAAAACATTTATAATAAGCTTTTATTACTAAATGAAAATTTTTAAATTACAATCAGTTGTGTATTTTAAAATTTATAGAAACAAATAACTTCAGATTAATAAACATTTTAAATCATCTGAAATGTGTTCAGTTGTTCATTTTGAATTCAAATTAAATAGTTTGTTGTTAAAAAAAAAGATAATTGTAATATTAATAAAATTAAAGGAGTGGCATAAAAACAACATATCCTGTTAATTAAACTTATACATTAAACCTTAATTGAAAAAGTAACAAAACACAGATAATGAAACTTAATGGATAAAGTTTAATTCACATCAAAATATAAAGCTATTTTGATAATTCTCTTCACTGACAAAAGCATAAGTCAGCTATTCAGACACACAAACTAAACATTTCAAGTACAGGAAATTATCTTCATATCATATGTCAATTAAAAGTCTGCTCTAAGAATGTCTATATGCCAGACAAAATGGTAATCTTAAAGTAGTTTCATCACCTAACAAAATATAAACAGTCCCAAAACAAAAACGCAGCAACAAAAATATTTATTTTACGTTAATCAAATTTAATTATACAGTTCAGAATATTCCCAAAAATCTTTTTGGTTAAACACTTTCAAAAATGAATAGAAATGCGAATATGTTAGTTTTGTTTGTAATATCAAGTTGTATATTCTACCAAAAGTGACTAATTTCACTTTGTGTAATATTTCCACTTTATATCCGAATGATAAATATCCATACATTTAATAAATTCCTGAAATTTATTATCTTATAGATTAGCTTAGTGTCATACTGTGTCTGTTTTACAGCAACTGTAGTCTATGGGTTTTATATTTAAAGCTAACATTATATACTTCAGTAGCAAAAAGAAATAATTAATATGCAGTAGGTTATAGAAGACACATACAAACTTTGGGCTCAAAACATAATTTCACTTAATTAAAGTAGTAACTTTAACTAATTTAATTGCTAATGAAGTTAAATATGCTATTTAAATTTTTTAATTAATTTGCTGAATTATTGTTAGAATTATAGATATAGTGGATAAATATTTATCTTTTAATTTAATACATTCAGTTTTTAAATAAAACAAAAATACTTTTAATGATTTTTTACATTATTTTTATAATTGATTAATCAATCATTTGACTTGTTTGATTTTAGTTAATCAAAATTATGCTTCTAATTGATAGTTACTTTTCCTTGTAATTTTTAGCTCAAAATTTATAAATTTAAATCTCTCTTATATTCAGTTAATGATTTTAATTAAAGCAAGCAATATATATATACAGTAGAGCGTCGATTTTCCGAAAGTCAATCATCCGAAAGAATTCCAGTCGGCAAATTTAAATTTTCGCCAGTGCTGTGGCGCTTCAATCTTTGGCTATGTCTTGGGCTACTCAAATATTTTACGTTTTTGATACTAAATTAACATCTGAAGTATA